TGAAGCTGAAATTAATAGATAAATAGATTAATAGATAGGTAGATTAGTAGATAAATAAATTAATAGATGAATAGATAGATAAATTAATAGATAAGTAGCTTCACAGATTAACAGATAAATAAATTAATAGATAAATAGATTAATGGAATAATAGATTGAAAGATAAAGAGATTAACAGATAAATAGATATATAAATTAATAGATTAATAGATGAATAGACAGATAAATAAAATAATAGATAAACAGGTTAATGGATAAATAGATAAATAAATTAATAGATTAATGGATTAGTAGATTAATGGATTAATAGATAATAGATTAATAGATAAATAGATTAATACATAAATAGATTAATGGATTAATAGATAAATATATTAATAGATAAGTAAATAAATACATAAATAGATTAATAGATTAATATATGTAGATTAATAGATAAATAAATTAATCAATTTATAGACAAATAGATAAAACAGATTAATGGATAAGTAGATAAATCCATTAATAGATTAATAGATTAATAGCTTAATGGATTAATAGATAAATAAATAAGTAGATTAATAGATTAATAGATAAATAAATTAATAGATTAATAGATTAATAGATTAATAGATTAGTAGATTAATTGATTAATAGATAAACAGATAAAGATTAATAGATTAATAGATAAATAGATAAATAGATAAATACATAAGTACATTAAAAGATTAATAAATTAATAAATAATCATATTAATAGATTAATAGATAGATAAATTGATGAATTAATAGATAAATAGATTAATAGATAAAAAGATTAATGGATCAATAGATAAATCGATTAATAGATTAATAGATTAATAGATTAATAGATAAATAGATAAATAGATTAATAGATGAATAAATGAATAGATTAAGAGATAAACAGATAATGATTAGTATATTAATAGAAAAATAAATCAATAGATTATTTGATAAATAGATTAATAGATAAATATATTGATAAATAAATAGATTAATAGATTAATAAATTAATAGATAAATAGATAAACAAATTTATAGATTAATAGATCAATAGATAAATAGATTAATAGATTAATAGATTTGTAGATTCATAGCCTAATAGATAAATATATCAATAGATGAATAGATAAAGAGATTAATAGATGAATAGATTAATAAATTAATAGATAAACAGATTAATACATTAATAGATTAATAGACTAATAGATTAATAGATTAATAGATTAAAAGATTAATAGATTAATAGATTAACAGGTTAATAGATTAATAGATAAATAGATTAATAGACTAATAGATTAATAGAGTAATAGATAAATAGATCAATCAATTAATAGATAAATAGATAAACAAATTGATAGATTAATAGATAAATAGATTAATAGATTAATAGATTAGTAGATTAATAGATAAGTAGATTAATAGATGAATAGATAAATAAATTAACAAATTGATAGATTAATAAATAAATAGATAAATAGATAAATAGATAAATAGATTAATAGATTAATAGATTAATAGATAACTATATTAATAGATACGTATATTAATAGATTATTATATAAATAGATCAATTAATTAATAGATAAACAGATTAATAGATTAAAAGATTAATAGATTAATAGATTAATAGATTTGTAGATTCATAGCCTAATAGATAAATATATCAATAGATGAATAGATAAAGAGATTAATAGATGAATAGATTAATAAATTAATAGATAAACAGATTAATACATTAATAGATTAATAGACTAATAGATTAATAGATTAATAGATTAAAAGATTAATAGATTAATAGATTAACAGGTTAATAGATTAATAGATAAATAGATTAATAGACTAATAGATTAATAGAGTAATAGATAAATAGATCAATCAATTAATAGATAAATAGATAAACAAATTGATAGATTAATAGATAAATAGATTAATAGATTAATAGATTAGTAGATTAATAGATAAGTAGATTAATAGATGAATAGATAAATAAATTAACAAATTGATAGATTAATAAATAAATAGATAAATAGATAAATAAATAGATTAATAGATTAATAGATTAATAGATAACTATATTAATAGATACGTATATTAATAGATTATTATATAAATAGATCAATTAATTAATAGATAAACAGATTAATAGATTAAAAGATTAATAGATTAATAGATTAATAGATAAATAGATTAATCGATGAATAGATAAATAGATTAATAGATTAATAGACAAATAGATTAATAGATAAATAAATACATAGATAAATAGATTAATAGATTAATAGATGACTAGATTAATATATAAATAGATTAATAAATTAGATGAACAGATTAATAGATTAACAGATAAATGAATAGATAGATAGATAGATTAACAGATTAATAGATAAATATATTAATATATTAATAGATAAATAGATAAACAAATTAACTGATAAATAGATGAATAAATAAATAGATTGATAGATTGATATATAAGTAGATAAATTGATTAATAGGTTAATAGATTAATAAGTCAGAATATACATATCATATAATAAAATAACCATGTTTAAGATAATTATTAACATAATAAAAAAAAAAAATTGTGTGTGTGTTTGTATAATTCCATAATCTTTTTTTTAACAAAAACTAACATTATTAAAAATTATTAAACACATATGAATAAAGATCTTTAAAAAATATATAACAAAATTAACAGCAATGATTATCATTATCTTCATTAATTATTAATTTTCAATTAATTCATTAATTGATATATACAAGTTTTACAAATGAATAAATTATAAATTATTATAATTTTTATTACGAACAACAAATATATTCAAACAATTGATATAAACTATTAATTATGATGAGAAAAAAATAGGAAAATTATATATCATATATATTATAAATACTATTACCATTATCAGTACTGGATAAATATATACATATTATCTAATGATGTAATGTAATTAATGGACAGACAGACTCTCTAAACAATTAGAGAGAGAGAGAGAGAGACAGAGACAGAGAGAGAAAGAGAGAATGAGAGAGAGAGAGAGAGATAAAGAGAGAGACACAGAGAGAGAGAGAGACAGACAGAGACAGAGAGAGACAGAGACACAGAGAGAGAGTGAGAATGAGAGAGAGAGAGAGATAAAGAGAGAGAGACACACACACAGAGAGAAAGAGACAGACAGACAGACAGAAAGAGAGAGAGAGAAAGAGAGAGTGACAGAGACAGAGACAGAGAAAAAAAGAGAGAGAGAGAGAGAGAGAAAGAAAGAGAGAGAGTGACAGAGAGAGACAGACAGACAGACAGAAAGAGAGAGACAGAGAGAGAGAGAGGGAGAGGCAGAGACAGAGCCAGAAAAAGAGAGAGAGAGAGAGAGAAATGAGAGAGAAAGAGACAGAATGAGAGATAAAGAGAGAATCGAGAGAAAGAGAGTTATAAAAGTTATAAAAGTTATAAATAAAGATATGAATACAGATGTAGGTAAAGACAGGTATATAGATACAGAAATAGATATAGATATGATAGATATATATATAGAGAGAGAAAGATACAGATAAAGCTATAATATTAGATGCAGATGGATATATATAGATAGATAAATAGATAGATAGATAGATATATGCATACACAAATACACACACACACGTTTTTTCTTTTTTTCTTTTTTTTTCTTGAATTTGAATACTCTCTATCTCTTTCTTTTTCTTTATCTCTCTCTCTCTCTCTTTCTCTCTCTCTCTCTCTCTCTCGTGTCTTGTTTATTACTTAGGATTATAGCCTATTTATGAATAAATAATCATGTTCATTATGTAATTATATCAATTCCATTAATTATAATTATATAGCAATTATTATTAATAAATATAATCTTATTTTATTCCTTTTTTATTCCACTTTTATTCATATTTTATTATTATCCTATTTTATCATTATTTTATTATTATTTTATCATTATTTTATTATTATTTTATTATTTTTTTATTATTATTTTATTTCTATTTCATTCTTAATTCCTTTTTTTTATTCATATTTTATTTTATTATTTTTCATTCCTCCTCTATTCCTCTTTATTATTATTTTTTTATTCCTAATTTATATTATCTTTTTTTATTCCTTTTTGATTCCTATTTATTCCTTTTTTTTTCATTCTTCTTTTATTTCCATTTTATTATTACCCTATTTTACTATTACTCTATTCTATTCTCTCTCTATTCCTATTTATTCTATTTTATTTATTCCTATTTATTCTATTTTATTTTATTCTATTTTATTTATAATCTCATTCTATTCCTATTTATTCTATTTTATTTATTCCTATTTATTCTATTTTATTTATAATCTCATTCTTTTCCTATTTATTCTATTTTATTTATATTCTCTTTCTATTCCTATTTATTCTATTTTATTTTATTCTATTTTATTTATAATCTGATTCTATTCCTATTTCTTCTATTTTATTTATATTCTCTTTCTATTCCTATTTATTCTATTTTATTTATATTCTCTTTCTAGTCCTATTTATTCTATTTTATTTATAATCTCATTCTATTCCTATTTATTCTATTTTATTTATTCCTATTTATTCTATTCCTATTTATTCTATTTTATTTATAATCTCATTCTATTCCTATTTATTCTATTTTATTTATATTCTCTTTCTATTCCTAATTATTCTATTTTATTTATATTCTCTTTCTATTCCTATTTATTCTATTTTATTTATATTCTCTTTCTAGTCCTATTTATTCTATTTTATTTATAATCTCTTTCTATTCCTATTTATTCTATTTTATTTATATTCTCTTTCTAGTCCTATTTATTCTATTTTATTTATATTCTCTTTCTATCCTATTTTTATAATCTCTTTCTATTCCTATTTATTCTATTTTATTTATATTCTCTTTCTAGTCCTATTTATTCTATTTTATTTATATTCTCTTTCTATTCCTATTTATTCTATTTTATTTATATTCTCTTTCTATTCCTAATTATTCTATTTT